AACCCTTTTTGGTGCTATATAGAACCTTTTCCAAAAAGGTTCTGCATAGAACAACATACAACACATTCTCCATCAATCTGAAGAACGATTTCACCATGCAGAGAACCCTTTAAGCATGCAAATGGTTCTTTGAGTTTTCATGTCTTAACTGAAGAACCTTTGAAGACTCATCTTTTCTAAGAGTGTGGATCTCCAAAAGTAGGAGTGGTGACCATTGACATACTCCATCGTGTAACATGGAATTGCTGAAGCCTCCAGTCTAACAGCAGCATGAACAAGCAAAGTACTCTTTGAGGTTATTAGCTCTAACTCCAATTGACTCCATATGGTCCATCTAGCCACCTGATACACAATACTTAAAGCTCTCATTTCTGTCCATTTTTCCATTATGAGAAGATAACTCAACGCTATGAGTCTGGAGGAATGTGAAGCTGTCAAGAAGCTGTTACTAAGAAAAAGAAAAAGACAAAAAAATGCGAAACAATTTTGACATTTTTTGGATTATGTGAAGCAGAAAATGAAACTAACTTCTACAACTGAACTTTGGAGGTGTGCAAAAACATCCCTGCAGATTTCTCTGAAAAACTGAAAGCAAGCATCATGAAAAGAATAGAAGCTGTAATAAAAGTAAAGACTGGACACACAAAATACTGAAAAATAGACATTATTTAGCTTTTACATTTGAGTGACAGTAAAAAATCAAGCTTGCATCAGATCTGAAAATATCCACTGTCCATTTTCCACTGCAAGAAGACAACTCAGCACTATGGGTCTGAAAGGATGTGTAGCGGTCAAGAAGATTTTACTGAGAAATGAAAGTAGACAACTCATCAAAAAAGAACATTTGCACCAAAACTGGACGCAGAGTAAGATTTTATAAACTGATGAGTCAAAATTTGTTATCAGGTGAGAAGCAGAAAACACAATCCAACTTCTGTGACTGAACTTTGGAAGCTTTTACAAGCAGCAGGGAAAATATCCCCACAGATTTCTTTGAAAGACTGGAAGCAAGTCTGTTGAAAAGAGTAGAAGCTGCAATAAAGGCAAAGAGTGAGACACAGTAGTGAAAAATAATAGTAATTTAGTAAGTGAGGCCTCTGTGTAATTTCCTGTTTTCCTGACACTGAAAAATGAATAATTTGTACAAATCTGCTGTCTGGAATTTCAATAAATGAAAACATGGCTCTAATTTTTACAGGCCTGTAGACATTCAGTATGTCTCAACATCTAGTAGCTTTACCTGCTGACCACTGCCTTCACAGATGTCTAGGTAGACAACACCATCAAGATGTGCTGCACTCTTAAAATAAGATGGTTCTTCAAGGGTTCCTTAGTAAAGAAAATGGTTCCATATAGAGCCATGAACATTCAGAAGACAGGTTTTTTTGCATTGGTTCTTTAGATTCATGGAAAATGTGTTGTGTATGGTTCTATATAGAACCAGAAAGAGTTCTTCTGTTGTTACAAGCTTGACATCGCAACAATAGCAGAACCCTTTTTGGTACTATATAGAACCCTTTTCAAAAATCAGTTAATTGGATTAATTCCATAAATTCAGGATGCAAATAAGCCTTTAAGCATGCAAATGGATATGATTCTTTATAGAACCATTGTTTTTACTAAAGAACCCTTGAAGAACCTTTTCTTTAAGAGTGTAGTTAGGAAGTGATTACATCACTAATCCCTTCTGTGCCTTGTTCCCTTACGTTACCTAGCTAATAATTAGGATTGTACCAATTCAAGGTTAGCTGCCTAAGCTAACAAGTTAGTTAAAACTACACTTTGGAGTAACGGATTGCAGACATGAAGAAATATGATAAAATATAATAGCATAAATATGATAAAATCATATGTTTCATTGTAGGACAGTCTTACACATAATGTTGTTTTACAATTGGGCCAAAATCAGACAACTTAGTAGGTTCACTCTCAGAAATAAAGGTACTAAACTATCACTGGGGCAGTACTCCTGCTGGCACTGGGGTGGTACCCTCAAGGGTGCATCTCAGTACCTTTAGTCAGGGAACATAACTGGATCATAATCCATTGAAATGATATTTTCTAAGTTGTATTGACTCCACACACCCCGTCTCGTCTCCAGGCTTTTTATTTTATTGTTCTGTTTTTAAACATTCGGTTATTAAAAGGTACAAATCTGTGTTTTTCACCTGGAAAAACATATTTAGGGTACTGTTGTACCCTCGAGGCAACATTTCCATTGTTTGTACCTTAATGAACCAAAAATGCACCTGCACAGAACCTTTAACAGTGTATCATATTTAAGATATCTGAAAACTCAGATGGATTTTATGTTAGGGATGTGGATTTGATGACTTCAATTCTGCATATGTAGAGAGCTCCCTAGGTATTAAGACTTAGCCATTGTGTACTGGAATGTGCCATGTTGCTGGTGGGCCGTGGGTTTCAACAATCCTGTGCCGCACAATGAAATGTGTGACAGATGGATCACTCTGTTCATTTTCAGCGTGTCTAACAGGATGTTTCCTGGGTCTTTGCATGTGACATATATGGATAATGCAGGCTTAAAGGCATGTGATAGCAGTGATGGCCTAAATGCAGGCCAGCTTTGACTCACATCAGGTATCCATCCACTGCCAGATCTGCAAAAGCCAGACTACGTCTGTGGTCTGAGGAACTAACATTGTAGTTTCTCCCAAAGTTTTCCTCGGTTTGGAGTGAAATTAGAAGCCTGAGTTGTGTCATCATATTTTAGCCAGCTGTCTGGAAAAGTGGCCAGCTTATATATTATGTCCAACTCTTGACTTAACCTGGTTCAAATCCAAGTGTAAATAAATTGAAGCATGAACACAATGATTATGTCTGTGGCAAATGACTTCTAATTAGATTTAAATATAATTTTGCACAATTTAACCCAAAGCTTATTACAAACCAACGCATAATACTCAGTAACTATATGGACTACAATGCAAACCAGCTGATTTCCTATCAGTGTTTATTCTTCATGCTCTGAGTTTCTCCATTTAAGTCTTGGCTTTTCTCATTGTTTCTTAAGGGAGTGTTTTGCCATTGAGTCTTAATTCCTCTTAGTGGGATTCCTCATGCTTATTTCTTTGCTTTTAGGAAGTTTTTCCTTTTGAGTCTTGGTTCTTCTCATGGATCTTCATGGAGTTTTTGCTTTTGAGATTTGATTCCTCTTAATGGATCTTCAGGGAGTTTTTCCTTTTGAGTCTTGGTTTCTCTTAATGGGTCTATATGGGGTTTTTGCTTTTGAGTCTTGGTTCTTCTCAGTGGATCTTCAAGGAGTTTTTCCTTTTGAGTCTTGGTTCTTCTCAGTGGGTCTACAGGGAATTTTTGCTTTTGAGTCTTGGTTCCTTCCAGTGGGTCTTTAGGGAGTTTTTCCTTTTCAATTTTGGTTGCTTTCAGTGGGTCTTCAGGGTTTTTTTTAGTCTTGGTTCTTCTGAGTGGGTCTTCATTGGGCTTTTTGCTTTTGAGGCTTGGTTCCTCTTAATGAGTCTACATGGGGTTTTTGGTTTTGAGACTTGGTTCCTCTCAATGAGTCACAGGGAGTTTTTGCTTTTGAACCTTGCTTCATCTCTTGTGCTATTAGGGAGTTTTGGATGCCTTTCATTATTTCTTCAGGGTGTTTTTCCTGTTAAGTCTTGGTTCATCCCAGTGTCCTCATCCTTTTTTTTAGGTGAGGGGGTTTCAGTGTTTCTTTCTAATGTTCTAAGGGATAATTTCTTTGGTTCCTTTCAGTGTGAGTTCCTCATGCTCCTAGGGAGATTTTTCTTTTGAGTCTTTTTCTCCATGGGTCTTCAGGGAGTTTTTCCTTTCAAGTCTTAGTTCTTTTCAGCAGGTCTTAAGGGAGTTTTTCCTTTCAAGTCTTGATTCTTTTCAGTGGGTCTCCATGGGGTTTTTGCTTTTGAGTCTTGGTTCCTCTCAGTGAGTCTTCAGGGAGTTTTTCCTTTCAAGTCTTGGTTCCTCTCAGTGAGTCTTCAGGGAGTTTTTACTTTTGAGTCTTGGTTCCTCTTAATGGGTCTTAAGGGAGTTTTTGCTTTTGAGTCTTGTTTCTTCTCAGTGGGTCTTCAGGGAGTTTTTCCTTTCAAGTCTTGGTTCTTCTCAGTGGGTCTTCATGGGGTTTTTGCTTTTGAGTCTTGGTTCTTCTCAGTGGATCTTCAGGGAGTTGTTCCTTTTGAGTCTTGATTCTTCTCAGTTTTTGCTTTTGATTTGTTTCAGGGTCTCTTCCTTTTGCTCTAAGGGATAATTTTCCCTTGAGTCTTGGTTTCTTTCAGCATTTGTTTTGCATACTTTTAGGGAATTTTTCCTTTTCATTCTCTGTTCCTTTCGGTGGTTCTTCCTCATGCTCCTATGGCAGATTTCCCTTTGAGTCTTGGTTCCTCTCAGTGTTTCTTATTAACACTTTCAATGTTTATTTTCCCTTTTTATTATTGGTTCCTCTCTGTGTTTGTCCTTGTACTTTTAGGGAGGTTTTCCTGATACCGACACCCTCATATGTGTATAAAGAACAATCCATGGAAAGGTTTGAAGACCCGGTTTAGAGACGTGGTTCTAAGGCATTGCTCCAAAGAACCTTGTTTGAATTGGGTTGATGAGCTTGTGTACACCTTAGTGGAGTTAGCCTGCAGTTTGTTGGGTGTTCAGTGTGATTAAGCCTTAAGATCAAAATAATACAGAGTAAATTTCCATTAAGCTTTGCTCCTCAGCCTGGTTCCTCCAGCACGAGCCCACAACATTTCACCAAGCAGTCTATTTCAGATTTAAGAGGTGGGGGAAAGGCAATGAAAACACGCACGAGCTTGGAGCATTTTCAGCATTTTGTGCTGGCCACGCTCACCTCGATCGCCTTCCTCAGCCGTCCAATGAGAGCTCGCGCACGGACCGGGAAGAGGAGGAGGAGGGGGGAAGCCGGGGAGGGAGGGGAGGGGAAGGCGCGAGAGGAGGGAAGAGAAGAGAGGAGAGGAGAGGAGAGAGTTGTGAGCGTGCCGCCCGGCCACAGCTTTCGCAGGCGCGCGCTGCACGGATGCTGGAGGCGCTCGCCGCGCGCCCTGCTCCCCGCCACCATGTCCAACCCTCCGCACGACCCGTTCTACTCGTCGCCCTTCGCGCCGTTCTACCGGAGACACTCGCCGTACGTGGTGCAGCCCGAGTACCGGATCTACGAGCTCAACAAGCGCCTGCAGTCCCGCACCGAGGTGAGCGAGCGCCGGCTCGAGCCTTGCAGTGGCGACACCCGTTTGGGGTGTTTTTTTGGGGGGTGCTGCGCGTGACCAAAGTTGTGTAGGGAAGCAGGACACCCTGCTTTCCTTTAGTATGTTTTTTTTTTTTTCCTCAGTTTGCATTGCAGTTTCACCTGCAGTTCAGCAGTGCATGTGCAAATGAAGGTGTTGTTATTGGGCGCGTGCGCGCAGGAGCCTTAGTTGTGCTGCTTTTCACTCACTTTTTCGCCCACAGCGGAGGCCACGCGCTGCGTGACCCCGAATTCCAGTGCAACTCCTGTGAAACAGGTCGAGATGCTTGGAAACAGATGTGCAGTCGTGTGACATTTTCAAGTTGACTAGATTCTGTGAAGTTCAGTCCAGATGTTCTCCTCTTTTGCTAAGGAGTGACCATCAGCTTTACTGGGCACTGAAATCCAGTGAAGTAGGAAGGCTTGGAGAACAGGCTTGCCAGTTAAAACCCACGTGGACGCATATGAGTCTAACCAAACAGTGGCTTTGTGCCCAGAAGTGACTTTACTGACTCTTAGTAGAGTCATTTTAATGAATCATGCATGGATCCAATAAGCTACACTAAGCTATATGTCTGTTTGGTTGTATTACGAGACTAAAGCGGTAGAATTAAAAGACTGATAGCTGTAGAGCTGCCTGACACACTTTAGACTGCACATAATCATTTACACACACACACCTTAAGCTGTTTTTTCCTCCAAGATCGGGACTCTTAGTAGGAGAGGTGGGCGATATGGTGAATATGTAATATCACAATACTTCAGAAAGTTTTCGATAGACGATATTTATTTCTGATGAATATTTATTTATTTATTTGATGAGTTAGAAAAAATTGTTGTGTCAATTATTAGTAAAAGAATACTATCAAAAATGATTGTACAACACTGTAAATCACATTAAACAGGACTACTTCTGCTTTCTTTGTCATTAAAAATGCAGTCGGCAAGTGTTTGAGTACTGTTGATATCCACATTATGCACACAAAAGCATATTGTGACATAATGTAAGGGATTTTTTCACAATAACAATACATATTATCATATTGTCCAGCCCTACTTAGTAGCCTGCACTGTCTGAAATAAAGGTACTAAACTGTCACTGGGGCAGTGCCTCTCTTGTCAATGGGGTGGGACCCTCAAGGGTACATCTCAGTACCTTTAGTCAGAGAGCATAACTGTACCATAATCCATTGAGATCATATTTTCTAAGTTGTATTGACTCCACACCCCCCCGTCTCGTCTTCAGGCTTTTTATTTTATTGCTCTGTTTTAAAATATTAGTTTATGAAAAGGTACAAATATGTACTTTTCGCATGGAAAAAAAAATATTTAAGGCACACAGTTTGACCTTAAAACCACTGTTGTACCTTTGAGGGAACATTTACATTGTTTGTACCTTGATGAATGAAAAATGTACCTGAACAGAACCTTTATTTCCAACAGTGTGTCACATTTTGAAGTGGAATAGCACAGATTTAAAAAGCATCCCAGCATCTGTTCTGATGATGTGCATTTCAATACAACCTCGAACAGGTTTAAGAGCCCATATTGGGATTTTATTTCATCACTTCTCTCCTGTCCTGTGAAAACTGGCTTATTCCCATTTTACCAAACTGTTTAGCTTGTTTTAAGAAGATGCGGATGTTGTCTGAGGCTATCGGGCTCTGATTTGCATTTGTTTGATGACCTTTCCTACATAATTCTGTAGAAGAGCACAGCGGCTCAGTCCTCTTCACATTCACAACCAGTGTTGCCCAAATTCTCCATGAATTTGAAGGTCATGCATTTGCTTTATTAACTGGATGGTAGTTTTGTGAGTGTTTTTTTTTCCAAGATCTTAAAGCAACATAATCTGAATCAATTGAAATGTGTATCTACACTCTTAAAAATAAGAGGCACCAGAAAGTTTTTTGGCTCGATGCTGTTGAAGAACCTGAAGGACTAGTCAATGGATGGTGCTTTAAATAACTGCTTGTGTAAATAAGATATGCAAGTGTCAAAGTCAAACCTCCGAATGATGTAAAGGTTCTATTCCAAGTGAATGTTTCTTTTCCTAGAACCATACATCCAATCCTATGACCTTTTATGAGCCTTTATTTGTAAGAGTGTAGGCTAGTCTTTAAAGTGTGATGTGAAATACCTTCTAAGCAGAAACATTTCAATATAGTAGAACCCAAAAATGTTCTATGACCCTTTTTGGTAGTTTATAAAACATTTTTTTAGAACTTCTTTGAAGACAAGTTTTCAGTCATAGAAAGCAACCTTTGGAATATGATAAGAACCAGTACGGACGTTCTTTAAGTGGTCAAAGGTGACTGAAAGGGCTTGCATGATCCCATTTTTCAGTGGCACTCTTTTTAGAGAACCAGTTCTTTAAATGTGACATGTGAGTGTGAAGAATCTTTAAGTTTAAGAACTGTGTAATATGAACGTTTAAATGATCAAGAAGCTTTGCATTATTTGAAGGTTCTTTATACCGTCAAAGAACATATAAAGAACACTTACACTCACACAGTTCATCAGCATTTGTGGTTCTATAGAGAACTAAAATGGTTTCTCTAAAGCAGGGGTGCTAAATCCTGGTCCTGGAGATCTACTACCCCCCTGCAGATTTCAGAACAACACACTTGGCTCTAGTATTGATATGCCCTTGGAGGCATTTATTCCCTGGATCAGGTGGTAGATCTTTGGGACAAGGCTCAGAAAACACTTTGTGGAACCTTGTGTGTATATATATATATATATACATTGCCTTCACTGAAGAACCTTTGAAGATCCAGTTCTTTAAGTGTGGATGATAACATTTTTCATTCGAACCATAGAGCTTAATTTCATAATCATTAGGTCTCCTCCTGAATTGGACATACACCCTCTCTCCAAAAGATTAAGGCTTGTTTACCGCTGCCTCAGCATCACAGATGCAAAGTTATCGGATGCTGTAGATGTGATAACCCCATTCCTTAGCTACGCTAACTGACTTACTAAGCTTATCACTCCATTCTTGCTATTCCCTGCTGAAATCCTGGTGATGAACGGCTGAAACACTAACCTGCTGCACCCTCGAACAAACAGAAGTGCGCGGATGGAGTCGGGCGGCAGCAGCAGCAGCTGCAGCTGGGGCGTTAGACGGAGGTGGTGTAACTTTAAGGAGATGTGGGCTGTGTTGCCGAGATGCAGTGCCACAACATCATGCATAATGCATGAGCCGTGGCCTAAGCCCCTGAAGACTTCCACTTCGAAACGGCACTTACCAAGCAGGCTAACGTAAACACAGGCTCAATATGTCATTTTAATCTTCTCCACCGTGCTCTTTTATCGCACCGGCTTTCGTTTAGATTAAATCTGTTCGTATGATTGATCTTGATAAGATATTCTATTGAGGAGCGATGATGAATCTATCTGGGAACCTCTACTCCCATGTACGACTATCACTTTAAAAGACGGCTATTGCGATTTACAGAATTAAGAGTGGAAAAAAAAAATTAAACAAGTGCCGACAGAAATAAATGAAGTCACTGAGGTGTTTGTGCAAAGCAAATGCCCGGTTCCTGGTCATTGAGCACGAGGCATCGATGCGTCTCCCATCTCTTCTGGAAGGAAGCCCAAGCAAGCGTAGCAGAACGCTCTGCGCGTCGGTTCTAACAAACACGTCTGGAAAGAAAAAGATGTTGGCACTTGATAGGCTTCCCTATTAAAGGTCTGATATCTCAAAACCTGACCACTTCTCACGAGAGATCTCATGAACAAGCATGCTGTCACAAAAGGCTAATCAACGCTGCGATACCGCTAATATCATGCTAGCAATCAGTGTGCTGTTTATTAGCTCGGAGGTGTAATGTGCATATGAAGCCTATGGTAATTTAGGGCTGGTTGTAAGAGGGAGACGTCGCCGTGGTCATTCATCATCTGGAATCGGCAGCTTTATGTGATAAACCAAGCAGGCAGTGAAGAATCAGGCCTAACCTAGCTAGATATATACTAAGGTGAGGTATTTTTTACTACAGATACAACCTAAACCTCTAAAACATAGTCTTAGTCTGATGAGCAAAGTGTTTCTTTATCATTAATCTATTTTATTTGTAATAAACCTTTCATTTTAAGAGTTGTGTAATCTTGAACTTAATCTTTTTGATTAGAACCCTATACAGAATGTGCTGTAGATGGTTCTGTATAGCACCAAAAAGCGTTCTGTTATTGTGTCAAGCTTGACAATAGAAGAGCCTTTTTTAGAGCTAAATGGAACCCTTTTCAAAAGGGTTCTATATAGAATCCATTCTCCATCAATCTGAAGAATGCTTTCACAATGCAGAGAACCATTTACTGATGCAAAGTGTTTTTCTGAATACTCATGGTTCTAGATAGTACCATTTTCTTGACTAAAGAACCCTTGAAGAACCATCGTTTTAAAGAGAATCGTCTTCTCTATATGGCTGGCTTGATGACATTTTGCTTTTGACTATCTAACTACTAACGCTAACTAACTAGGCTAACTTAGTAGCTGTTTTCTAGCTAATGCTAAAACTTCAGCCTTAAAGCTCTCAAAACACTGTGCTCAAAGGGTTGTGTTAACTGTACATGGCAGTTTTTTGGTTCCATATCTAGTTTTTCTTTAAAATATTAACCAAAATATATGTGATTTAATAAAAATTCATCAGTAATATTTGTAAAAATAAGCTTCAGCCTTGAGGCTGTCAAGGACACTGTGTGTAAAGGGGTGTGTCAACTTTTCATAGCAATTTTTGGGTTCAGTATTTTTTTTTTCTTTAAAATATTAACAAAAATATCTGATGTCCAATATTTTTCATATACCTATCTGCTGATGCTGATAAATAAACATTTACTAAATAAACATTTGAATTTAGAAATTGGGCTAAATTTAGCTTTTAGATCATTTTAGATATTACATTTATTTCTGTGGGGTTACAATTGCATAAAATGAATGATAGAATAAAATACAGACTTTAG